CCCCACTCTAACCAGCCAACTGATAAATGTGCATGGCTTTTGGTGGGGATGGAGTGGGAGAGAGCATGGATGTGTTCAGACAAATCCATCCCCATATCCATATCTCATGCAGCACACCCTCCCAGGGAAGAGGTTATTCTTTTATCCGTATAAAATACAGAGCCCGACACATGTTCATCATGGTATCTCTTTCCTAACACGTATGTTGCTGTATCTTTTCTCTTCCCCCTCCAGCTCATAACTACTCACATCAGAGGCCTTTGCTGCTTCCTTTTTCTTCTATTCATTAACATTTCTTAAAAATCAGAGACAGAACTTCACATCCAATCTGCATTGACTCTAAATTCCCTGATCCTACCATCAGTAGCAAGATGGGCCTGTCTCTTCTTCCATTATTACTTCTGACAGCCTCAAAGAAATCATTTAATATTCATTTCAGTCTTCTTTTTCAGACAGTCTTAAAAATCAATTTCAAAATTTGTCTTCTTGATCCTGTCATTTAGCACTGAAATGGCCCAAAGTGATGACTTGGGACATTAGTGTTTCTCCCCTCTCCCTTTAGGGTGTCAGCTCTACTTTGTGAATCTGTTCTGGTCTGAATAAAGCTGCCTTTCATTTCAGGGTTGTTGTTTTTCACTGAGAAAAATGATTTAAAAAAAAAAAAGCTGTATATGTAGAACAACTTTCAATTATCCTTTTCTTTAAAAAACCTGCAGTAAAAAAACTAGGCAAAACACTCTGGCTTAGAAAAAAAATCAGGTTCAATAGGTGAAAAAAGAAAAAGAAGAGACCTAAAATTGCAGTTATTCTAAAATCTTCAAGAGTGCCACTTTAAAACCTCTATTTTCAAATAATACATTAGTAAGAGTAACATCATCTTGCTTATTGATTAAAAAAGAGAAGGTAAAATAGCCATTCGTGAAAAGATGCTAAAAGGTGCAAGGAAGCCAAGAACAGGAAGAAAAGGGTCTGAAAGAGCGGAAAGGTAATGGCAGCTTTTCTAAAGCAGAAAAAAAGTTCTTTGTCTTTGCTGCCATTCTGTGAACAGCCTAGAGAGCTCAGTTCATTGTCATTGTCGCTGCCCTTCTTCCTTGCATTGTTTTGCTTTTTCAGGTTGTCTTCAATTCTCCAAGTAACATTATTAAACTAGAGGGATCGAAAACCCCCAGAAGGACCAAGGGGTAAGGAGGGTACCTAACTAAATGAAACGCATCCAGTTCATTTTATTCCTTAGCCTGTGTTGTCTCTTCTTAGCAAGCAGAAGAGGGTTTTAAAAGTAAAAAATGGAACAGACATGACATTAGAAGAGAGTTCTGGACCGTGCAAAACAGTACTCTAGCTCAATAACCATAACCAGTTTTTGCTCTAAGAATCACTCTGCTATATTTGTAATCCCACCAGCTTGTTATTTATATATATTATTACAGTGTCCTAATGGACCTACCCCTTCCATGACTCTGACTTGCTTAAGAAAGAAAATACCTGCTAAAATGATGAGAGAACAAAAGCCATCTGCATGAACTGCCAGAGAGAAAAACAATCGGATTTTTCTTATAGGATCAAAGAGTCAAAAATCGTTCTTTCTGGAACTGTGGAAAATCAAACATGGGGACTTAAAAGTGTCACCTCAGGAATTTACACAAGAATGTGTGTGCCCAGCCCCAAACCACTTTCTGAGACGGAAGATAAATTGTAGGAACCCGTCCACATCACAGCAAATGTAATCAAATCGACTTCGAAAAGGCAGGATGTGACTTGGGGATCCTGGATCCTGGATCTTTTCTGCCTGCCAAATGTGTGGGCTTTCTGTGCAAAAGAGGTGTCTTGCTAGTGCCACCAGGAGGCCACTCACATTAAACACAAGAGTATTGTCCCAGCTTTCTGGTTCTGATTGTATGAAGTCAGCCCAGGACTACATTGGGCTAAAATCACTGAATGTAACCAAGGGACGGTGATAGTACTATTGTTTGGATGTTTATTGAACATCAATAATGCATTACACTCCATCTGCAACACAGAATTAGATGCTGCCCCTGACTAGGAATTCATTAATCTACATGGATATACAGGCAACCAGGAGATGCCTTGACAACAAGAAGGGAAGAATAGGAACTGTTTAGATTATTGACTTTTTAAATAAATGAATTGTCTTTGGAGACTGTGGTTGTAGCTGGGCGAAGAAAAATTTTAAGACAGATCCTGAATTAAGTCAGACAGTGAGAACATGGGTTCTGTAGCCACACCAGAATTCCTGAAAGTTCTGCCAGACTTTAAGCAAAGCTAATAGAAGAACATCCAGCTTTTTAAAATTAGGTTATGATTCACTCTACCAAAGTTTCACTTATTTTGCTAAGAAATTTACTTCTAAATTCTTGCAAATAACATTAGCTCTTTGAATGCATTTCTAATTTAATTAGAATTATAAACACTGCAAACTAGACTCAACTGCCAGAGACAGAAAATTTCTACTACTCGTATAATTAACACACATCCTTAGGCTCACAGGCAGTACTGACTGAGAAATAAGACCCTGAATTGGGATAACCCCCCTTTAATCTAATGATGCCATGCTTTTAGTTTGTTGGTCTTCATCTCACATTTCCTTATGCTGCTTCAGAATTTGTAAAGCTGTCTTAGATTCTAATAAAATGAATCTAATGCAAGTTCGATGAACAATCACAAAACATATTGATTGACAGGTGACTTTAGATGTCACCTATAAAACCTTCCTCCATAGTTGGGAAGCACCCCAGACACATTCCTGATAACCTCTGCTTAAGCACATCCACTGACAGATGTCCACTTCTCAAGGCTCTCCTGGATCACTCACCTTCAATGGTATAGGATCTCATATGGAACAGGCAACATTTACAGATGAATAAGTAAAGTTCTAACATATATTAGTTGGGGAAGAGTAAGAGGGAGAGTATATGTTTATTTTAGTCGTCTCTGCTTTGCTGAAGCATTTGGTTTTCTGACCCTTCCATTTCAAATATTCTATGTAACTCCATCATCCTGTGAATTCTTTCCACTATACTACCGTCAAATTTATTCTCTAAATCAAAAGAGCGATAGCACCAAAAGTCCCAAATGCTTATGATAATTCCTCGCAAATTACCCATCAGATTTCAGTCCATATCTAGTCACCTAAGAAAATGCATGCCATGAGCCTCATGGAGACAGGTGGAGAAAAGCACTTTGGATTTTCTACATGCCTTAAAATTTCAAGTCTGGCATTCTCTAAATGGGAATGGTCCTGATCAACAATTCCACAGGTGACCAGTGCATTTACACCTATTTATGGAAGATATTTTTGGTTAAACACAAGTCTACTTACTGATGGGATAGAGAAAAAAATATATATCAGATGTGTTTTTTTGTTAGGAATGATCTTCTACAGTCTTACTGACTAGACTAATACACAAGGAAACTAGAATAATATACAAGGCCATGGAATAAATCATTAAGCTAACATTTAGTTTTTAGAATTGAAATGGAAGAGGGATACATGCATGGATTTGCTAATTACACTTCTGCTCCATACAGACTAGCTCTGAATGACTCATCTATGGCTTAACTTGACTTCAGGGATATTTCTTCAAGCCCTCTCTCAATTCTTCTACACATTTAGCAAACAACATTTCCAAAGCATGGTTTCCTACAGAACACACTCTGTTCCGGTGGCTGCTCTCTCTCCTTCCCATTTTGGAAGACACAAACACGAAAGTTAAACACTTTCAACACCTACCCTGTATTAGTTTCCACAATTTTCCATGCCAGTATGGAAATAAGCATCCAAAACCTAAAAAGCTTTTTCTTTTAAATAGATGGTAAACAGTTTTAAATACTTACAAACAGTCCCTTTCACACCTTGTTGCCAGCTTCTTTGCGTATAGCGTTAACCAGGGGGAAAAAAATAAATGACAGGAAAAGAAAAATAGCCCAAAGTGAGCAGCAAGTGGAAGCTGGAAAGAAAACATAGGAAAGAAATACATGTAAATCATTGTCTGAACCCTTCGTGCTTTCTCTTCTTAGATTTTAGCTTTACACAATTCAATTTCACACTAAACACAGCAGAGATGGCTGAGACAAAGGAGGAAGACAGTGAATTGTTTAATGTACATTCTGAAAGAAAATGATGCCATTCTTTTCTGAGCAAATTCATATCAGCTTTCCCACCTCTATAAATGAATAAAATCATTTTTTAATAGTCAACATAAATTTAGATGTTGCAAAAATAAATCCCCCAGACGTTTTGTATAGCTTCGAGAATAAAAAGCTGCCAAGGCATTTACTCTGAACATAATACCGTACTCTGCAAGTACAATACATTGAGCACCAAATACAACCAAATTCAAAATAATATTACACGGAAGACAGAGCACATTTTATACCTTTTAAGGAGACATAAGACCTTGAGTGCAACCTCTTGGGAATATAAAGTCAAGCAAATAAACTTTTTAATACATTAAAAAAATAATGGATGCTGTTTGCTCGATTCTGGAGTTAAAACTGAAGAGAATCAGGGATTTTTAAGTCGGGGCAAATTAACAACATTGGGTTTCTGTTTTTATTTTTTTTAATTAAAATATCATAAATGTTAAATAGTTGTTTGCAAATAACGGATTTCCATAACATCTAAATAAACATTAAATATATAACATAATAATATTTCCAGTTTTGATACCAGGAATCACAATTATAGACATTAGAGACCCCTTACTCAAGAGCTTGGACAAAACTATAGAAACTTAAAAAAAAAAAAAAAAAAAAAAACTGACAAATTTTTTTTGAGACAGTTGTGCCCTCTGGAGGTGGCACTTGGGAATTGAAGAAATCGTCCCTAAACCAACAACAATGACTTTCCTAAAGAATTGAACACGCACTTGGAAATGGAAAGAAGGCTTAGAAGGTTTCATTCATGTTCCTTTCTTTGTGTCAAACCAGTTTTCAATGAATACTAATTTAGAATTTCAATTTAAAAGTGTTCAAATGGGCACAAAACATTTTAGTAGAAGGGATTAAAAGCTTGTGTTCAATATCTGGAATACAATGATTAGAAACTTGCCGAATATTATGTAAAGAAAGAACAGTGGTTTCAAATCAAATATCCTCAAAACTGTTTTCGGTGAACTGCATGGAGCCATGGACTGGCCTCTTCTTATCCCACTTCCCCCAACTCTCAGAGACAACTGAATTTTTTGTCCTATCTTTTTAGAATAATTCACCACCTCTGCCTTTTCTTTTTATCTGTCTTTTTATACTTGATTCCTAATAAATGGAGCTAAATTTCACCATCTAGGGAATATATTATTCCAATGAAAAAAGTGAGAGATAAATATTTCTTGATGGAGCTTTAGAGAGAGAAATTAATAAAGTTGGCTTTGTGTGCTCGGAATTTCAATAGGCCAAATAAAAGATAAATGACAGAAATAATTACGGGGTGGGGGAAGCGAAAAACATTCCCCAAAGTAGATTTTACTTGTTAAAAGCGGAACAAAGCTGCCACTTTTAAAGAAAGTAGAGATCTTCTTGATTCTAACTTTTGCCTTGGATGTGGGTGAATGTTGTGTTTTTAAAGAAACTAGAAGAATTAAGTAAGGCTGCCACACCGGGGTAGAGTCTTAAGTACGTTGGCGTGAGGGGAGTAACCCAAATGTCAGTGAGATGCGATTATCTTCAGCTAACAGGTTCCCTGAAGCTCTGGGAGTGTACGGCCTGAGCAGCCAGGCGGGACTGAAACAAAGAAGGTTCGGAGCGAAGGAAGCCAAAGTCCCCGCTTCTCATTCATTTGGGCCGCGCTTGCGCTGCAGGTTCTGGCCGTTGTCCCAAAGGCAACTTCACGTCCCAAGGCCACTTCCCCCCATCTTCCCCTCAGGGAAGCGATGGACCTAGAGTTCTTAAAAAGAGCCTCGCCCTTGTTGGCTTCCCGCTGCCTCTTGTTCCGGGGGCAATTCGTAACTCAAGTTCTCCTGCTCCTTCTCCCCAGTTACGCCCCCGACCCCCGGCTCCTTAAAGAGGCCAAGAGGCCTCCCAAGGTACAAGAGGTCTCAAGGACGACTGCCCTGAAACCCACAGGTGATATCCAGGTCCCACTGAAGGTGTGCGCTCAGCACCTCCAAATATGAAAGCAAACATGTAAGGACAGGCAGATAATTTGGGGCTGTTGTGGTCAGCCCGCGCCCCGCTCCCTGTCACCCAGGGCCACGCACCTGCTCGCACCCCTGCGCGGATCCGCTCACCTGCGCGTCGGCTGGTTGGGCCGCTGCGCCTCCACCCGAGCGCCGATAGAGGGCGCCCACGGCGAGCCTTGCCGTCCACAGCCCGCTCTGCTGTGGGCCTAGGTTTCAACTGGGGTGCCCCGTAGGGCCAGGGAGATGGCACTGTAGTCTAATAGGGAAGGAATCTGGGTTTCGGCTATCAGGGATAAATTATTTAACTGGTCTGAGGCCTCAGGCTCCTCATGAAAGGAAATTATCATAACATTAATATCTAAGCAGTTAACACATGATTGTATCATTCATTCATTCACAAGAAATATACCTTGAGGTCTCCACCGTGTTTCAAGCATTATGGAGACACAAGGGGTTCCCTAGCAATCAAATTACACCCAGCCTCTGCCGTTTTGGAAAGTACCTTTGAATGGGATTCACCTAGGGTAGTGTAAACAGGGCTTCGCATGTGGATCCTCTGAGCCCACCTCCTAGGACACGCTCAGCCCTCGCAAAATTTTAGGGCTTATTATTATGAAATGCTAGTGTCAACATCAAGCCCTTCCTCCTCCTGCAGTACAGGGGTTTAGTTCATTCCTGGTGCCCTAAAGCTGAGCACAGCCTTCTTTACCTTAATAGCTCAATGAGAGTTTGATGAATGAATGATGTGATTGAATAGGCGCATACCTTGAATCCCTAGGGTAGAAGTAATGGAAAAGACGAAACCTTGCTACCTATAAGACAAATAACACTGGGGCTGGAGTGGAACCTTCAAGGTAACTTTCCTTCTGGAAGGGGCCTTGCATCTTTGAAAGACTGGCCACTTTCCCAAAAAAAAATGGAAACTCTTTCAGCTAAGAGAGATGTGGACCTATTCAGGAGCCAACCTCCAACCCAGATCTTCCTTATTAAAAGCTTCCAATGACACTCACAGTGTTAGCTACTCCCTTTTTAGGTATGTTTAGGGGTTTCCAATGGTTTCAGGGACCAAAAGCTTTCCCTTGGAATTCTCCCTCAAAGGAATGGATCAGAGATGACAACTTAAACTACTGAAGGGAGTCTTATTTTTGTAAAAACAGATCCTGGAAAAATGGAATGTTCCTTTTAACTCATTACTAAGTGTTTTAAGGTTTCGACTTCTCAAGCAGCATCTGAAGAAAGGCAGAGTCTGTTTCCTTTTTCTATCTAGCCCAGCTGAGACTGATTTTTCCTTTAAAATAAATTTTAGAAAGATGTATTCATCTTCCATTGCTATGTAGCAAATTACCACAACTTTAGTTCAAAATACCATATACTCATTATCACACAGTGTTTGTAGATCAGGTATCTGGGCACCAGGTTCATTCTTCAAGGTGTCATGAGGCTGCACTAAAGGTATTAGCTAGCTGCAACGTCATCAGGAGGCTATACTAGGTAAACAGGCACTTCTGTGTTCCCTCAGGTTATTAGCAGAATTTATCTCCTTGAGGGTTGTATGACTGAAGTCTCACTGTCTTGCTAGCTGTTGGCCAAGGATTACTTTCAGCTCCAAGAGACCACTCTGGTCCTTGCTATGAGGTCCCTTCTACAGACCCTCTCATACTCCCTTACCTTTCTCTCTCTCTCTGCTTTTAATGTTTTATTTTTTTATGTTCCAGGGTACATGTGCAGGGTGTGCAGGTTTGTTACACAGGTAAACTTGTGCCATGGTGGTTTGCTGCACCTATCAACCCATCACCTAGGTGTGAAGCCCGGCACGCATTAGATCTTTTCCTGCATGCTTTCCCAATCTCTCTTTTAAAACTGATTTGATCAGGTCTACCCAGATCATCTCCTTTTTAATTAGTTCAATCCAAAATCCACTGATGAGGGGCCTAATCATGGCAGTGGTATCCCCACCTGTTCACAGTGGATGGGATTATACAGGTGTCTTAGTTACTTCAGGCTGCTATAACAAATTTCATTGACTGGGGGCAAAAGAAACCTTTCTTTCTCACAGTTCTGGAGGCTGGGAAGTCCAGGATCAAGGTTCCCTCAGGGCCAGCCAGTTGGGTTCCTGTTGAGGGCCTTCTTGCTTTGCAGAGGGACCTCTTGTCACTACATCCTCACATGACAGAGGGAGAGATCCTCTCTCTCCCATCTCTTCTTAGTCTCCTATCTCTTCTTAGCCCTAGTCCCATCATGAGGGCTTTACCCTCGTGGACTAATTCCCTCCAACGACTCTGCCTTCTAACACCATCATATTGCATATTAGGGCTTCAACATATGAATTTGGGGGTCACAAATATTCAGTCCATAGCAACAGAACAGGCATGCCAGGGGGAGGGAATCTTGCAAGTCATCTTAGAATTTTCTCTACCAAAGAAGAAAATAGAGAAAAATAACTCAAGAAAATAGAAAGTGCTAGGGATGTGCTCATTTACAGATGTCAGATTTCTACCTAAAATAACAAATGTCTGAAAGCCAGGGTGCCTGCAGGCCCGAACGCGCCCCCGCTTTCCACCTGCTCTCGAGCCCCCTTGGCACTCTCCAGCTTCCCATTCCCCTCCTCCAGGCCTGTGCATGACTGGGAGTAAGAGCCAACGCCGGAGCTCAGAGGAGAAAAGCATTTACTGGAGACTGGAGGGAAAAAAGGCCACGGATCTCCGTCCCATTGTGCCTCTGACTCCAAAGCACAGCAGCAACGAAAACTGGGGGATGTCAGGAAGCCACACCTGGGCTCAGAGCCCAGCTCTGCCACTTATTCACCATGTAACTCTCAAGTTCTAATTTCTGAATCTTCATTTCTACATCGGCAAAATGAGAATAAGATTTCCCCCAGGGTTGTTGTCAGCTTTGGGTGATGTAATACACCATGCTTAACACAGCACCTATAGGGTAAGAGTGAAATCGTTGGGAAAAATTAAAACCCACTAAGGAAGCAGCTTAGAGAAGGAGGAGCTGCAGTTTCTCCTTGCATTGACTGAGTGCCCGAGACAGTGCTGGAAAGCATGAAGTTGGACCTTGAGACATATACGATCTAGTTGGAAAGGCAAGACAATTTACCCAGTGAACAGCTTAACTTTCACAGAGAGACGGATTGTGAGTGCCAAGAGTTTTCCTTCTCAGGAAGGTCTTTTCACCCAGGATCTGGGTGTGCTAGGCCTCACCAGGTGTTCAAGCCAGGATTGTGAAGGCCTGCTCTGCCTCAGTAGCTTGCCTTGCCATGGCCAGAACCCACATGGTGATCAGACCTAAAGTCCTTGAATTCCCACACAGAGAAAGACCCACAAGGGACCCTCAGTGACACACAGCAGGCCAGAAGTGCTCAGCCAGCAGTTGGGGGATGGCTCCGTTCACCTCTGCTTGGTAAGAAGGCATCAAATCAGGCTGCCTTAGAAAATCTTTTGGGACCAGAGATGGCTAAGCATACTATATTGTTTTCTACTACCACTGTAACAAATTGCCCCAAATTCAGTGCTTTGAAACAACATAGATTTGTTATCTTACAGTTCTGAAGAGCAGAAGTCAGAAACCAGCTTCACTGGGATAACATCAAGGCATCAGCTGGACTGCATTCTTTCTGTAAGCTCCGTGGAAGGATCAGTTTCCTCGTCTTTTTCAGCGTTTAAAGGCTGTTTGCACTGCTTGGCTCTCAGCCCCACATTGTTGGGACATCGCTGGGACCTCTGCTTCCTTCATCACATCTCCTTCTCTGACTGTAACATTCCTGCCTCCTTCTTGCAAGGACCCCTGTGATTACATTGGGCCCACGAAGATAATCTAGGATATTCTATCTCTAGATCCTTCACTCAATCACATTGGCAAAGTCCCTTTTGCTGT